GGTGACGTAAAAATAAAAGTGCCTTCCAAATCCCCCCCCCCCCCATACATTTTTTTTCTGGAATAACCCTTATCAGATGGCAAGCCGATTTGTCATGTATTGATGTCGACTTGAAGGATATTATGCGGACCTGTCAAAAAAGAATGACGTTTCAGATAATATATCAACTTTTTAAAATTTTTTATTGACTATTCACATACTAAGATGTTGACATGTCAGAATAATTTGTTTGCCAACTAATAGCTTCATCCAGCCATGGACCCATTTCCAAGCTGTATCAATATTTTTAAACTATCAAATAAGTATTTAGTAGAATAAAAGAAAATAATCTGACGAATCCAAATAATTATGTGACAAGAAAGTAGGCACAGATATATTCCACGCTAGATTTCCTTCTAAAATTCTGTTATCATGTCAGATGATTTTTTTTCTTTCTTAAAGTATTTAACATATGTAGATCAGGTAAGATATATACATGTACCAATACATGTGTATGTTGAAAAAATAAGTGTTAAATCTAGACTTTAGAAAGGATATCAAAGACTCAAATGGGAACTATAGGCCGAAATAATTTTTCATGGGGGCACTTTTTAAAGTCTTTTAAATTATAAACATTTACCAGAACCTAAGTACTTCATATATACGTACTTTTATTACCATTATTTTAAATCTTTATTGATACATACAAAAGACAAAATCAAATAAATATGTGTTTAATTCATTTTCGAAAGGAATAATAACACAATTAGCACACTGACAGAATAATTATTGATACAAAACAAAAAATAAAATTTACGCTTTAACAGTTTTAAGAAATTAGTATGGCTAAAGCTAAAAATGAAATAGGTGTGAATATAGATGTGACATGCCAAACAATTATAATTGAAGTTTGGAGACATGATTTTTTTTTCTCTTGTCTTGACTGTGTTATTTGTTACCTGATGTCTAATCCAGTTATGTTATTTTACTTTACATAATAAAATATTGATTAAACTGAAGTGTGTTATTGTGTATAACAGGCTAAAAAACCAAGCATATTTTTCAGGTGGGGGAGGGGGAGATGTTCTTTAAAAACAAATGTAAAATGAAACCAAACATATGATTTACACATGTGGCCATTTTCTTTCAGAAAACATACTCTGCCACCGTCGCCCACAAAAATTTTGAGATAAATGATTTTTCAAAGCAGTTTACATAATATATCCAAAAATTATACTGGTCAACGGTTGCAGATAATATTTTCTAAAGGAAAATAAGCACAGAAATGAGACATTCTGAGGCTTTTCTGCATTAAACTTAGAAATGTACCAAATTAACGACGTCCTATTTCCAGAACGGTCCTTCTTCTTGCCAAATTCTTTAATGAATTATCATATTCATCTACTCAACTCTTGTTAAAGCCAATGTCATCACTTTTGAAGAATATTAAATTTTTAGGGCAAAATAAAACCCAAAGCGTGTCTTCTTTTTGTGTAAAATTTGTTTTGGCTTCGAAACATTGACCCTCGGAGTGTCCACTCGTTTTAAGGCCTATTTCCAATAAGCAATTCAATTTTGGTACAATGTTAAAAGTCCTTATTCAAGTCTTGATTTTCAGTTTTCTTCATGGATATTTTATTTATTACTTATCATATTCATCTACTCAACTCTTGTTAAAGCCAATGTCATCACTTTTGAAGAATATTAAATTTTTAGGGCAAAATAAAACCCAAAGCGTGTCGTCTTTTTGTTTAAAATTTGTTTTGGCTTCGAAACATTGACCCTCGGAGTGTCCACTCGTTTTAAGGCCTATTTCCAATAAGCAATTCAATTTTTGGTACAATGTTAGAAGTCCTTATTCAAGTCTTGATTTTCAGTTTTCTTCGTGGATATTTTATTTATTACTTTCAGCTGAAAAATACTACATTCAAATTACTAAGTAAATGTAACTTTTGTATTCAGCAAATTCTTGCATAATCAATGCAATTAAATGGTAGTTTCTACATCCTAACAATCTTGAGCACAAATTAGCCAGGAGGGTGAGTGTATTCAAGCGAGAATTGATTTTTGGTCATAAATTGACATCTTTACGTTTGCTTTATAAATAATCGGATAAATCAGCAAGCACCAAATAAACAGAGCAAATAGTGATTCTTGATATTTCGTGTCAAGTTTTTTTAAGTTTCTTTATTTCTTTAAATCAACTGGCTCATCAGAGCAGTTATATATAAATGATTATAATACGAAAATAAACATACATAAAAAGTGAATGTAAAGACCTCGTACATGAAAATACTATACATCAATTTTATTCTTCTTAACATTGTGGCTGCATTCAAAAATTTGCCCAAATTTAAGAGATCTTTAAAATAATTAGAACTTTCCAGCTGAATAAATTCAAAGACACTTGGCTTGAGGATTCAATTTTTCCAAATGAATTTCAAACTTCAAAAGTCAAGGTCAGAAGGTCAGAATTCTTGATACCTACATGTAGATGAAGGTCTTGTCACAAGGAATAAGCCTGTGAAACACAAAAACCAATGTTTTAACTGTTCAAACGTTATGGCCAATTTTAAAGGTTTTAAAATAGTGGGTAAAACACTAAAGTCAAGGTCAAACAGTCAAAAATATTCATATGAATACACATGTTTAATATGAAAGCCCTTCCACCAACTGTTTCAAAGTTATGACAATGGTGAATATGTGATACTCTTTTGTAAAAATGAGTCAACCTCGAATAAAAAGGTCAAGATGTCAAATTTGGTAGTACCCAAAGAAAGGTATTGTCACATGGAAACAACTATTAAATATGAAAGCTATATCTCCTTTTATACTTTTTGCTAGGTTAAAGATTTTGCGGAAAACAGACAGCTAGACCGACGGACAGGGTAAAAAACTACACGAGGGCTGTTCAATAGATAAAGTCCTCGGTGCTCTGAAAGAAGCAAAAGACGCTTTTCAATGATTTATTCTTTATGATTTAGTCTAAATATTCTATTTTGATATAAACACATGTCCGTATCATTTTTAACCATTTTCTGACTGTATTTAGAACTCATTTTTTTGAGTATGGCTCTCCTTTACTGGAATATGTCAGATCCTATGATTTCCTGGACTTATCTCTTCTGGAAAGGCGTTTTTTTTCAAGTTTGGAAAATTAAACAAGTCAAAGGATGACGGAGCTGGCAAATATTACTAATGAGACAAATCATTAACTCTCTGTTTATCCCTAAAACACCTTTACCCTTCAGGGAGTGTGGGTTTGGACGCTGTCCTGAAAAAAAATGTTGTACAGGATTCCTGATTCTGGTAATTTCCTCTCATAAACCTTTCAGTTTTTTGCAAAAAAATTGCTCTCTAGATTCCTCCAGAAGTTGAACTACCTCCTTGAAAAAGACTTTGAACATCAGGACCACTTATATTTAAGAAATTGGCTTACAAACTGTCTTTGTCCTCTTGCAGTTCTTTGCTCTTTTCAGACGTTTACTGTTTTTGTTCAGTGCATCTTGTTGTAAATTTGTTTTTGAGGGTTTTAAGCAATGGATTCAAGTTTCGTTATCTGTTTGAATTTCAGACAAATACGGATTACTACAATTTCTGATTTTTAAAATAATTGATAAGATTTTCTTACACGCTATCGTTTTCACTCATTTTCCAAAACATAGAGTGATCATTGAGTACTGAACTTTTTTACTGTCAAATGTTTCTTTAAATTAGAGTAAATTCCCCCCAAATTGATGCATGACAAATTTGCTTTGTGTCTAAAATCAATCAAATATCATAAGTGAAAATTTGTTGAATTTTGGCAAACAGAACATCGGCTTTTGTTAGTTTTTGTCTCGAAGGACGGTACCCATTTTTGATGTCCATTATATCATTATTGTTTATTGAAAAAAAACCACCTGTTTTAAAATATGTCTATAAAACAGACATTGGGTGCTGTAAACTTCAGAAATTTCAGTGAATATTTCTTTGGGATTCTTAACAGGTTTTACAACAGCTTTAATAAATTTAATTTTACTCTAGTTTACTGATTCTTTATTATTCATTTTATATGCAGTGTCTCGAATATCCCTTGTTTCTTAGCTTCTCACAATGAAAATATGCGATGAAAAGTGGTTAAATACAGTGTATTCAATTCATTAATGATACAATTACGAGAAAAAGTCAGGTTTAATGCGATATGATAACTGTGTTGTATGTCATAGAGTTAAGGACATTCTTTATTAAACAGCCCTCGTATACCCCGAGCCATCGAGTACAGGGGCAAAATAAGTGCTGGGTATACATTTATGTTGGTCATGTATTTTAATACGGATTCAAAATGATCTAACGTGTGGTTTTCATTCTAGATATGCAAATCCTTGGTATTTTATTTTTATTTGCATATGAAGTGCACTAGCAAACCAAAATACTTATCTTTAAACTGTCAAATACTTCTTTAAAACAGTTTTACTATCCTTATAACGATGCCTATAAAATTTGCTATGTGTCTTTTTGTTAATCAAACAGCATCGGGGATAATAATTTGAATTTCGGCAAACAGTACATTGGTTGTTGTAAGACATTGTCGCCAAGGATGGTTCCATTTTCATGCCTATTCTATCATTTTTTACAGTGAGATTCACTTGCTGATATGGCTATAAAACAGACATTGGTTACTGGAAATTTAACATATTTTAACTAATATTTCTTTGGGATTCTTTACAAGTATTACATCAGCTTTAGTAAAGCGTTTAATTTTACAAATGTACTCTTGGTTACTGATTCTTGACAATTCATTTTTGATACACTGTGTCGAATAGCCTTTGTTTTCCAGTTTCTCACAATGTGATGAAAAATGGTCATATAAACTGTAATCAATTCATTAAAGATTCAATCATGAGAAGAAATCAAGCTTTAAGTCAAATGATTGCTTAATTGTTTGTTATAGAGTCCAGGACATCATTTATTGAACCTCTCTAGTATTTTGAAAAAAATAAATACTTTAATGTAAATAAGTTGACTATAAAACGATCTAATAGATATGTTGTGCTCAATTTATTGAATTAACATGTACATCACTTCTCGAGCAGTAGTCTGTATAACATTTAAGCTTCATTCTGTTACGGTATCACTCGATCTATTTATGTTTTAATTAACGTATAATAGTAGATACTTGAAGTTGATACAAAGATTTCACAAGTTATTATCTGCAGATGTAAGATTACACAGTGATTACATCAATGGGTTATTTCCCTGAAATATATAAAAACATATTATAAAAGAGAAAATCATAAGCCCTGTCATATCGTGTAGAATCGTTTACGTCTTAGAAATACTTTCTCATCTTGGCGTTTTTAGCTCACCTGAGCCGAAGGCTCAAGTGAGCTTTTCTGATCAAAATTTGTCCGTTGTCTGTCGTTGTCGTTGTTGTCGTAGTTGTCGTTGTTGTCGTTGTCCTCGTCGTAAACTTTTCACATTTTCATCTTCTTCTCAAGAACCACTGGGCCAATTTCAACCAAACTTGGTACAAAGTATCCTTGGGTGAAGGGGATTCAAGTTTGTTCAAATGAAGGGCCAGGCCTTTTTCCAAGGGGAGATAATTATGAATTAGAGAAAAATTAATGGCATTTTTAAAAAATCTTCTTTTCAATAACCACTGGGCCAGGAAAGATGAAACTCATGTGGGATTATCCTCAGGTAGTGTAGATTCAAGCTTGTTCAAATTATGACCCCTGGTGGTAGGGTGGGGCCAAAATGGCCGATCAAATTTTTACATAGGAAAATATAGGAAAAATCTTTAAAAATCTTCTTCTCAAGAACCACTGGGCCAGGAGAGATGAAACTCATGTGGAATCATCCTCAGGTAGTGTAGATTTAAGTTTGTTCAAATCATGACCCCCGAGGGAAGGGTGGGGCCAAAATGGCCGATCAAAGTTTTACATAGGAATATATAGGAAAAATCTTTAAAAATCTTCTTCTCAAGTACCACTGGGCCAGGAAAGATGAAACACAAGTGAAATTATCCTCAGATAGTGTAGATTCAAGTTTGTTCAAATCATGACCCCGGGGGGTAGGGTGGGGCAAAAATGGCGGATCAAATATTTACATAGGAACATATAGGGAAACCTTTTAAAATCTTCTTTTCAAGTACTTCAAAGCCAGGCTTCGTTATATTTATAGGGAATCACCCTTAGGTAGTGTAGATTCAAGTTTGTTCAAATCATGACCCCCTGGGGGGGGGGGGGTAAAATTCAAGCCCCCCCCCCCCTCCGGCAGTTTACTTTCAGTTCTGATTTGATCTGTGTTTTTTCCTAGCCAATTGCTCAGGTGAGCGATCTGGCCCCTGGGCCTCTTGTTCTTTTAAACCTAAGAAACTAAACACTCTTTAAAATATGTTCAGAAATATGTTATTGAATTAACGTATTTTTTTTCTGTTCGTTGTTTTTTTTTTTAACAATTAATAGTTCAATCGTGAATATACTTTTAATTTACGGTGCAAAATGTTTCAATGGTCTCTATACCTGTGTTGCCCTGATCTTCTTTTTTGAAAAAGGAACATGGCGACAAATCCTACCGACACACCAACTGTTAAACCTGAGAAACTACATCCGACTGTAGCGAAAAGTACATAAACCATTTTGTCTAAAAAATAAAGTTATATATAGAAATTAATTAACGACTAAAACTGAAGGCATCATTGAAGCTGTGTTTGTACATTAACTGCAAAAAGTCAACAGGACATTGTCTTAAAAGTATGACGTTCGATTATTCCTTTACTGTACATTTTTATAATATACGACTAATAGATCCAATATGCATATATATTTGGAAGAGATGAAAGAACAAGGTATGATTTTAATACAGATCTTGCCCTGTGATTTTCCTAAAGATGAAACTGAAGTAAAAGATGAAAGATCGAGCTTTCTTAATCATTGAAACTCTAAGCAGAAAATTATTCAAATCATTTTCTAACACGCATTTATTAATGTTTATTGTAACGTCATAAACATGTACATTATCCCGTATTTTCTTAAAAAGTAGAACAAGACACCAAGTTTCAATCGAATTTTCTTTCAAATAATATTGTCTACAGGCATCGCCCACAAAATTTTAAAGATATATGGTCTTTTATTGAATTTTGCACAACATATCCAAAACTTAAAGTGGTTGAATATTTTTTATACATTACGAAGATATACAAACTGAAGCAGATTTTGAGGAACGTCTCGTCTGACCTTAAAAAAAAATCTACAGAATGATTCAAATGGGTCCTAGAACAACTTGTGTAAAAATAAAGAAAATTGAACCAGTGGTTTCAGATATATTTGTGATAAAAAAAAATTTCAATGGCAAAAAAACTAAAAGATTCAGTAGAGGACGTCACAATATTTGACCTTTGACCTCTTGATATGACCCTAACCTTTGTAGTACATAAAAAATGGAGACGCCGCATATATGTGTCAAAATACCAGCCTTATACTATTCATGGAACAAAAGTTGCACTGAATTTTATAACAGACTGTTACGTGCTTGTTTATTGCACTTAAATAACGTAAACACATTCCAATATGTAAGCCCCCAAGTCACCAGTATATAGGATTCATTGCTTTTTCACAAAATATGACGCAAACCATCGTCTCAAGCCACGGTCCGGAGTCCGCATTTAGCTCTCTCCTACCCGTGGCTATTTGATCACAACAACTGTCGTACTTTTGAATATTTACGCCACTCTATTGTGACGTCATATTCAGTCAGTGGCAAGTTTTGTTTACATAGCAATTGAAATCAACAACTGACGTCAACAGTATACAAGAAATATTTTCTATAATACGATTGGACAGTGAAAGGTCGCGATAAAGTTCATCATCCGATTATGCTTTACTCGCATTGGTCAATTTTTCAATGAGATACAAAAAATTTTCTCATCGTTCATCATCCGATTATGCTTTACTCGCATTGGTCAATTTTTTAATGAGATACAAAAAAATTTTCTCATCGTTCAACCACGGCCAGAATAGGAGAGGATCGTACATGTTGGCCGTGGTTTGCGACGATGGACGCAAACATGCGAAAAACTTACTATTTTTTCTTACAGGGATCATTCATTGTTGTCAATATAGTATAATTATTCCTTTTTCTCCAATACTTTTTAAGAATGGGCTAAAATAGAACCCACTGGTGTTTTGTCCTACCTTAAGCCAGTTTCTAAATCTTTTTTAAAGTATTTAATTTTTGTGGGCACGATAAAGCTAAGACCATACCTTTTTCTTTATAGGAAAACATTTGATAGCTATTTTGATCAAGAGGTACCAGCTCTTAATTATAATTATGAATAACGTTGGTTTCTTTAATGTCCTTAGATGTTAAAATATGTTTAGGAAATTGATATATTTTATATATCAAGGTTCATTTGGAAATATAAAAATGTAAAATGCATCCCATGAAAAATATGACTTTGTATTACCTTTGTAATATTTTTTGTCTTGTTCAACTTGCTTTTGGATTCCTTGAAAAGAAAAACGGACAATTTCAGTTCCAATACATCTAATATAATTCGAAGCACTGTTAAGGCCTATTATGAGAAATCAACGGAAAATAGAAGTGCAAAAAGTGGGACCTTTTTAAAACTGAATTTATTTTAATTAGGCTGTTTTATTATCACAGAACTCAAATACTTATGGAAATAGCATAGTATAACCCACTCTATACAGTATGAATTTAAGTTTGGTACCATCGATGGACAGTCACGTGATGAATGCATAGTTAGTGTACTGAATGTAGGTCATGAACAAATTTCAATATCGCAAGGGAATACCCTAGTTGACATTAAAAATTCAAGCTATTAATTGTTTCTGCATACTTTGTAGTTTCTGAAAAGTGCTGCTGCTTTGAATAGAATTTGCATTGTAATACATGTAGTTAAATTTTCAGGTAAATAAGCCAATGTCGAAATATTTTTGACTTTCACCAAATATTTTGTGTACTTATAAAATCACGCCCTCGATTTAAAGAAAGCAGCAGCACTTTTCAATTTTATGAGGTATCTCATTGTGAAATATGTGTAACCTGCACATAAAAACACGACATAATTAATAAAATACATTCTCTTGTTAGTTAATGAATAATCGCACTAAACAAAGGATATACATCGGTATTAATCGATTATTTAAAACCTGATAAATAATATTACGTTTAATAATAAACGCATTTTTTATTGTTATGAAAAATTCCTCAATCTGATTTAACTAGCTAAGTTTTTAACTAAGTATTTTAAATGCATTGATAAGTTTTATTGTTGTTTATTATGCTAATACAGTTAAACGTTGCAAACTATTTCATTTTCAGGTATAATGAGAAATACATGGTATAATGAGAAATACATAAATGTCATATTTTTGTGTGACGTCACAGTAAACTTTTCCCGTATCAATTAGTAACCGCCCCCTTATTCAATCCTTAACAATGCTGCGTTTCATACTACAACTTCCTATGATTGCGCCAATCCCTTTCTAATCAACTCTTCCCCGAACCGCCCCCACCTCTAGATCCGCTCATGCTTTTCTTTTTTTTTTCAATACGCCGTGGACACAGATTCTCTTAATAAGCTTTTTAATCATAAATTCAAATTTTTTTTAATCAAAATTCTTAAACCTCAAAGCGTGTAGATTATTTGAAACAAATATTCATTTATTAAACAAAAGATAAATAAAACACTGAAAAGTTTAAATATATATATATATATTTTGAAATTTGAATTTTTTAATATTTGTAAAAAAAAAAAATCTAAAAAGTTAACATTTCAAAACGTTTAAAAATTAGAAAGTTTGTGTTTTTAAACTTAGATACATGCATTAAATTTCAGTATTCAAAGTCGGTTTGATTTTTTGAAATTTAAAAATTTGAATTTGTGTATTAAAAATCTGTAAAATATATTTTACTTTAAAAAAAAAATTAAAACAAAATCAAAGATCGCCAACAAATAATTCATTTAAAAAATGTACCATGTAACCCTGTAAAATACGTCTTCTTCTTTACTAACCTCTGTAACATACTTTTTCCTTGATGTCATATAGGTGACCAGATTTACAGGAGCATGTCTGGTTTATTGAACAAACTCCGCCATAAAAAGCACACTGTGCGCTATACCCGCATTGCTCACCATATTTAAGACCTTTAAAAAATGATGATGTTAACAATTCTTTTTTTTTTGTATTTTGATATTTAAAAAGAAACATTGATAACAATAGGCCAATGTGCTAACTTGCTCACATGAACACTGTCACTAGGAAAACGACTTAAATAAGTTCAGTATTGAAAAGTTTGAATACATAAGTGGTGGCGATTTACTCTTGAATTGAAAGGGAAACGAGGGAGTATACAATGTAATTAGATCAAACATGAATCTTCACCATAGAAGGATGCTTGTATCTTCCTTTCTGTGGCGTTTCTTAATTTGAACAAACTTTAATCTACACTACCCGGGAATGCTTACATATTGATATATCCAATTTTGGTTTTGCTGTTAGTGAGAAAAAAGAAATTAAACAATATTTTATATCTTCCTGGGTAGAAATTTGATAGTCCAATGTATACTTGCCCTACCCAAGCGGGTCTTTTAAAAAAACCTGAATCAACACTACCTGAGGATGATTCCACACAAGTTTCATCTTTCCTAGTCCAGTGATTATTGAGAAGATTTTTTTAAAGGATGTCATTAATTTTTCACTACTTTTAAATTATCTCACTTTGGGAGAAGTCCTGGTCCTTCATTTGAACAAATTTGATTCCCCTTCACGCACCTTGTTTCAAGGTTTGTCGTAACTGGCCCATTGATTCTTTAGAAGAAGTCAGAAATATTAAAAGTTTACTAACAAAAGGACAGACAGACATATACTGACACGCAAAAGAAACGCAACCAGTAGTGATATACAGATGTTTGATTTTTTTATCTAATGATTTTCAAAAATGAATACATTAAATCTAAACTCACTTTTCAGAACATCAGAGATTTGATAAAAACGTTAAATGTTTATCTTTTTACTTTACTAAGTAACATATGATAGTTAAAATACCCCCTTCCAACCATTTAAGTTGAATGTGCAAGACTGCCCTAAACAACAATTGCAGCTTAATTTCTACGATACAAAAAGGTTCATCAATATCGAGATCTGAGCGAAGGAATAATTCTTAGCCATTTTTAAATGCTTTTTTTCCCAGATAATTAGGTCGAATTTTCTCTAACTTAGAGCAGTGTAGCCACCCTTGGACTTCCGGTACAAGGGCTGTCCTTAATGCATATGATACGTAAGACCCAGTTGAGGCGTAATGTAGTAATTTTTTGCATCAGCAACTCTCCATCACCTTTACATTGAAATTTTTCAGCAAGAGCAATGAAAATGCGTACTTAAGCCATTTCAAAAAGCCTTAGTATCGTTACGGGAAACAAAAGGAGAGTTGTTTTTGAATATTGCTGCATTACTAATGATGAACAGTTAAAACCCTTAGAACTCCATTACTTTGCCAAATGTTTTGTTGAACATGTAATTTTTTTATTTCTGTTAAGAAGACTCAAACTTGACATCCGGTTATGGTATGAAATCGTTCAACCGTTAAATTACCGATGTTTATCAAATTAAAGATATCCATAATTTTAAGATACAAAATTCTTTACTTTACATAATTTTTCCCCCTAAAGTAGAGTGTTGCGTTTCTTTTGCGTGTCATTATATAACGTGATGAGAAATGCTCACTTGAGCTTTTACCTTAGGTGAGCTAAAACGGACAACACATACAAGTAAAACTTGGAAATAATAAATATGAGGTACCCTGACAAAAATACAAGTAAGCTACATGTATAGTTAACTATACTTAAATTCGGTTCACTTTAAGATCAAAGCATTTTCGGAAAGGTTTTATAGTGAATCAAAGTGAATTCTACGAATTCCAAAATATTTTATGTTATTTTTTCAATATCAATACATTTGTCAAATCAAAAGAAAGTATTATTAGCATGTCACATATTTTCTAAAACTCTTATCATTGTAATGCATCTCTAATTAAAGAAATATTAAGTTTCTGAAATTTTTGGTGTAATTATGTATAACTTATTAAAGAAATATTTAAGGTCAAGACTTCATACAAAATGCAACATAAAAATTTCATTTCAAATCAAAGTAGAAAAGTATTTACAGTAATAACATGTGAAACTTTCGTAAATTATAGCATTAGGATTTCTGTTTGTGCTAAATGCAAATAATACCCACATACCAGGAATACAATCAAATAAATACTCGATGTATCCATCTGCACATACACAACGACTGTTTGAGGAACATTTTAGACGATTTGGAAAGCATTGCTCGTCATAAATACATGTTTCTCCAAGTCTCGATTGTGTCTTCTCTACAATATAATTCAAAGTATTATCTACAGACATGTCTGCAATGTTGATCATTTTATTATTATTTTTTTTTGGGGGGGGGGGATCTAATGAATTAAAGAAACAACCAAACTTAAAAAAAATCTCTGATTATTTTACAGGAATACTCAGGCTTTTATAAACATACGGTATACTCTGTAATCACAGTCTCCATCAATATCGAATCTTATCGAGCTGGATGGGTAACCTCCATACCAGTAACAGCAGTAATGAATCAAGAAAGAATGGAACCCTGGTTTCTTCTCTTTATAAGGCCTTGATGCTGCTTTATCATGCAATCTCCCGTAACAATACCCTCGTTGAATAGCTGCAATCGTACAGGGAATCGTGCACGTTCTTATATCTGCAAAATTAAACCATTATGTTAATATTAATTATCTGCTGATATTATATCTTACAACAAACATTACGGAAAAACAGAGGAATTATTTATTATATATAACATATATAAGAGCCCTTAGGTTTGTAAGAATCATGCATGAAAATAATATGAATCATGATAAATATAGTACGTACGTACATTGACTGCAAAGTGCTAATGATACACATAAGGCTATTAAAATTATATACAAAATAAACTGATAAATGCTAATAAAAATGCAATATCTCAAAATGACAGAAACTGGAGAACTTAAAATTAAAACTATTCCACTTTGCCATAACAGCTTTTAAAAATTATTTTTGTTTACTCTGTAACTTATGTTGTAGACTGATCTGCCATCACGCTTACTACATGCAAACAAATGAAACTAACCTGTGTATTTTTAACGACTTGCGTTCATTTAATTTGTTATTTTGGATTTTAAATGTATGTGTTCTATGATTAAAACGCCGATTAAAGCGTAGTTGCGAAATAAGCTACTTAGGAACCCATGGGATTTCTCTTCGTTACACTACATTAACGGAGAGAAAATCCGTTGGTTCCGATGATGCGATGTAAAGAGTTGATCCTTACATCGCAGATTCGATTGCAATTGTGGGGCGTGGAAACCGGTCCTTCGGATGAGATCGTATAAACCAAGGTCTCGTTTCTCAGTATGTGCAGGAACGAAAATTGACCCTTCATTGTTCAATACCCCTAAGTGCCGATTATAGGTCAAAATATGCAACCCTCCATCGGCAAGTTGTGGCGTCAAAATATGAGTGTTTTTTGTTTTTGGAAGACTTTAAACAAGAAAGTACAAACAAACAACAAACATTGATATATCATTTTTATATGTAACACTGACCAAACTGATTCAAAGTTCAAATGCAGGATATACACATTTAATTTCTTCAGGGTTATAAAACAATGTGAAAAATCTCTTAATTTTATGTATTTCTATCTAGACTAAAACCATATATAACAACACACAAACAACCGGTTATTTTAAGCTGAACTTTATACAGAGGTCTTAGTTTTTGTTGTTTTTTTCCTTTTTTTATTTTTGTTTTGTTTGGTTTTTTTAAATTGTCTTCATTGCGTATAATAAACGTGAGACATTTATTTATGTACATATTGCATAAGTTAAAGTCAATGTTAAAGTAATACGATAGAGGAATTGATTTTTATCATAAAATTTCTCTATATTGCTCTAATATCTCTAGATCTCTCTAATATAGAGATCTCTCTATGTTTAAGCAGTACCACCTTTAAGTTTCTAGATAAGGTGTGTGGGGAATTACAGTGAATTAGAAATAAACTTCCCATAAGATATAGCTGACATGGAAACATTTTTTCCCTAGGATAGCTGACATGGAAACATTTTTTTCCACAATTAATGTTGATTTTCCCAGAATAAACAAATACTTTTGTTTAATAATTGATGTATGAAATTACCAAGTGTGGCATCTTTCAGATATGTGTAAAAATGCACTATATTGAATGAAATATCAGAATAGTTTTTCTTTGATTTTTCATTGTAAGAGCAAAAACAATTCATAATGAGATAGAAGACGAAATCAGTGGAGTCATATGAAATGTCTTAGTCTCCCCTAATTCCAACCAGATTTATGCCTTTGCTTGACTGAAACAACGATCCTGTAGAAGACATATTATTATTATTGTTATATTTTCTTTTCTAAAAAAATATATACAAAAAAGTACCTCGATATGTTTCATTGAAGAAAACATGCGTAGCATTATTCATGCCATTGACATACTTATTCTTGTATGAACTGCATTCTTTTAAATGATCTAGAAGAATTAATACGTCCTCAGCGCACATCCTGACAAAATAAAACATTCGTCCGAAGTAATAGCAGATATATCAATTAAAACTTCTTTAAATTTTACTTATAAAAAGTCTGCTGAGAAATAGTTGTTCATTTTCAAAATGTTGCGTCATATTTGATAAATATGCAGAATATACTGGAATAATTTTAACTGATCGTGTGGCTTATCAACATAATGCGATATATGCATGTTGTGTGGCCTTTGTTTTCTCTTGGTAATCAAGTAAAGTTTAAGAATTTTTGTTTTACAGCTTAAAAATTTCCGCTCGCTCCATAGTTAAAATTATCTGTTATTTTTTTTTACATAAACATGTAAGTACAAAATTTATGAACCAAGAGAAAATCGATGTTCAGCCAAATGAAAGAGCAATGGTAAAGCGATTTTCATATTCCTTTAAATTTTCACCGTTTCAAGAAATAAATATTGCAATAGTTTTTAATTTAGATTTTTAATATTTTACCCTTATTTTCTATTTGTATCGATGAAAAACATAAAAAAAACTCACCTGTATTCTAGATAATGCATTGCTTGTAATTGTCCATTAAAATCAGAATAAGATTGTTTTTGATCGAATTATCAGAAAAGATAAATATATTGACAGTGTGTTGCAGGAAATCCTACATTTATGTCAGATTAAAAAGAAACTGTTGGAGAAAAAAAAAAAACACATAGGACTCGTAACACAAAGATTGCTAAGTTTTTGTCTTGTCTAGGGATTACGTAGCAAGTTCGATGTACTATTATAGTAAAGTCATTCATACATATATGTTCAAATTTTTTTTTATGTTTCACTTTATCTTAGGAATGAATTTTATAGCTATCTGAGTTATTCTGTTACATTGGGTGAAGAGGTTAACGCCCATAAATCGCAAATCGGTTTTTAAAAATTCTGAAAACTAGTCCAGCCCAGGTCATATCAGTATACATGGAGTAGAAATAAATTTCTTTCCTTAACATTTAATTTTCCATTTTCAAACATTGAAAAAAATATTAAACAAGATGTCTGTGAGCTAATGCTCAATGGTAATACCCCCGCTCTTATGTGAATATACACTGTCGTGTTAATATATTTATATAGTTCTATGTTCACTTAAGTAAATCAATGTGTCAAAGTGTTCACTATTGTAAATCAAAGTTTTCATATTGTCAACGTGTTCATTATTGTAATAGTTAATTATAGTAAACTATAGTTAACTATTATAGTAGTTTTTTGTTAGGGCAAATATGGGCAGACGCACGGATTAATAGGAAGTTGACTTCAGATTCATACAAGAATAAATCCAACCATATTATATGCCTCAACAAAGTATGTGCTAAAACTTCAATAATCTGTAATTTTATGAGAAATTGCTGAGAAACCTGCAAAGACAATTTGATTTGTCATATATGGTACTGACAGATGAAGATAAACAGAAAGTTGACATCGGATTTGACCAAAATAAAATCCACTATATAGAATGTCTCTGCTAAGAATGAGATAAAATTAAAACCATCTATGATGAATATTCGCTGAGAAAACTGCGAAAAAAATTTGTTGTGTATGGGACGGACAAATGCACGGACAAAAAAAGTTGACAATCAATTTAAACATAATTTAATACCACATTATGGCATTATGTCTCAGAAAAAATGTGCTAAAATTTCAAACATCTGTGATGGATAATGCTGAGGAAACTGTAACAAAAAATTGTAATGTACATATATGGAAAAGAGAAACGGTTTTAACAAAAGTTCACTTGCTTCATCATTCTCGCATATATGGCACAATAACCGAACCTTTATCGCATGTATTTGAAATCAACGCCCTTCTGCATTATGGTCTTAGGCTTACGTACAACCTTAATATTACGACCCCCTACTGCTTATATGTGCGATTAAGACTTGCGAACACTTTATGTTACGATTCCCTACTGCTTACATGAATGTGCCAATGGCAAATATCCCTAAACCAATGAAAGATCTCCTAGTAAAATTGTTTTCATACTAATTGTTAGTCCATTATTTATACACTGAATGGATGACGGTTTTTCCGTTATTTCCCGATCATGACAAAGAGCACATGGCGGGATTGACCGGTCAGCAGGGGATGCTCACTCCTCCATGGAACCTGATCCCACCTCTGATGTTCTAGAGGTCAATGCATGCTCTGCTCCTATTCTTTTTTTATTATTTTATGGACTTTGATGTTGAATACTCTTCGTTATCTCCGTATCCTTCATGATTATATTAATACTGTACATTTATGAATGGATTTCTTCAAATATTAGAAATATTCATAATATATTACAAAAAAAACCCATTACATGATTTGATTTGCTTGATAATTATTTGAATAAAAATACGAAGAACGGCCTTATGGATATCCCTATTAAATTATTCAGCACGAAACAAATTCACTTACGTCTGTGGCGTAGATCCGATAGCTTTGAGGGTCAAACTGCTTTGGAAGGAGCAAACACATAACAGACCGCATATGAAGAACCCTTAAATGAAAAAGCAATGTTTATTATATGTATAATCGAAATAGAATACATTATATCAGACAAAATGAATATTTTGACTAAATAATTACTGATTTGTGTATTCCCATGCACGTTGATCCAAATAATATTTTTATAACTTTATTATTTACATTAAGTCGATATTTTAGACTTTTATTCTTTAAAATAATGGATACCTGTACTTAATGAGTTCTGAAAGGTCATTTCAGTGTTGATAAGATAACTCCTCCTAATCAAGATCCTTTATAAATGAGACATTTCTTGATGTTCTGAAACAAACGTTATTCATGTTATTCTTCAAATGTTTTCTTTACGAGGGTTGTCCGGTAAAATCGTAGACAAGCTTCATGTATCTAGATTAAAAAGTTATGATCGCTTCCTAAAAAAATTTTCACTACTCTTTAGTAGTAAATTTTATCATCAATATATAACACACTTTAAATATTTAAATGGATTGTGTAAATAAATAAATTATGAAATTTCATATTATATGTTGTGTTGCTTTACGGCGCACGGATGGTAGTTAAGTAAATCAAGGGATTTTATCGATGTACGTACTAGTGATTCCCTTCATTCCTATTTTAAATAGTCGAGTGAGGAATCAATCTCACATATACAATGGGCCTTCTGAGGATTTGTTATGTATTTTTGACAGTATTCTCACTATCATCCAACAAAATGGGCAATCTTATAGCGGCAGTATACAGTAACAACGTCTTTTGCAATTGCAGTATCTGTTCGTCCGTATATTATGTTATCTCATACCAATGGGCTCAATCAAAAAGGATACCACTACGAAAACTACGAAAACGAAAAATGTAGTTATTTTCTTTCATATGTTTATATGTCCAAACTTATAAACTTATACACTTATATGCTCTCAGCAAATCAATCGAGGAATGGATCACACTGATAAGTGGAAGTAAGAGAATTCCATGACTCTATGTTTTTGATACTAGATTGGCAAAACAAAGTATCTATGATCAATTCATAAGGCTAGCAGGGATATAACAAGTTAATAGGGGATCCTACATATGCCTCTGGAATTTCCAGGGGTCCCATTTTATGTCTGTTTTTCAAATTTGCATTGCTTTAATGAAATGCAATAACTTTTTGCTTTCTACATATACACTTTTTTCAATGGTACAGAAATGAATTCCACCTCAGTTCATGTCTAAAAATTGATCAAAAGATTGGACCTTCTGTGAAGAGTAAGTGCTAAGAAAATTGCAACAAAAATATAATGGTCAGACAGACACAAAGACAGACAGGGACACAGTTACGCATTCCCTTCTCTCGAGCGGGGGTATATAACAACGCAAATAAATCGTGCTGCAGATAAGAAATTTTACTAATACAGCTACATTATAAAGCTGAAAAAGATTCCAATAAATTTGGCTGTAAATTTATTATTTGGCTGTAAATTTCTTTGGTTTACATATCTGTATGTTGGTTATTATCATGTATGTAAGGAATGCAAGCAGCTGATTCTAATATCAATACAATATTACAAGGTTCGTGTAAATTGCGCCGTTCTTTTCTAAATGAGTCAATTACCAAGTGCAGTGAACCTTTTCCAGATTTAAACGACGTTAGAACATGTTTATAATAAGTCATTTTTAAAAAATACAATTTCGGTACATGAATTTAGACGAGTTCAGAAAGCTTATAAATAACCCGTTGATATAATGGAAGGGTAGTGGATGTTTAAGCTCCATAATTATGAATTAATCATCATAAATTGCTCATGCAAATTTCTCTATCTGAAAAAAAAAAGATCAACAGTGATGAATGTATGATTGTTCTTTTCACCAGTGTATATAAATCTGAGAAACATTTTTTTATAAACTTATCGTAAGTCCCAGGACAAATTAATGCAATATTAATGCACATAATTGCCATTTATAATGTCATTAAGTAAACAAGCCAACATATTTCTTGGTTTCATTTCACTTTAATTTCCTAATATTCTTCACCTTACATGATTACAAGAATCACCTGAAAGGTAATAAGCATTATTTAAAAAAAAAACACTGGGTATTCGATTCAAATTAAAAACTAGAGGTATTGTGAGCAATTGCAATGAGCTGAAAAAATGATACCCCCACCTCCCGTATGAGTATGATGGCAGTGTCAATGTTTTGATGAGGAAAACCCAAAATATGTGTCTAATCAAAAAATAATATGCGAGTGGTTGCACAATGTCAATTTGTAATAAAATTTTTTAAAAGTTTCCTCAAATTTCATTCAGTGGTATGAGATAGATATGAGATTGCAGCCCCAAAGCGTAACATAAAGACGTACATCTAGACCTACGGACGGACATACCGATTACTATATACCCTCCCGCTTTTCAAGCGGTGGTTTACAGTGTAACTAGAGGTATTGTTAGCAATGTGAGCCTACCATATGAATATAATGTCAGTGTCCATGTTTTGCCATGAGAAACCAAAATATGTGTCGGATCAAAAAGTAAAAACAGAAAGTGCACAATGACATTTTGTATTAAAGATTCTCTGAAAATCTCATCAAATATTAATCAGTGGTATAAGAAGAGTTGAGGATAAGAGATGGGTACCCCAAAGCATAACAGACGGACGGACGCACAAACAGCTAGACGGACGGAGGAACATACTGATTACTACACTGTATATATTCCCTCCCACTTTTCAAGCGGGGGTATAATAAAATTACCGTTGCTTCACTGTAATGTTTTGCTAAAGAATAGACTTCCTGCTCGTTATCATTTTAACTGTTTCACTGGTGGGTCGTAATATTGAATAAAGACTTCTTAAGTAAGCGAACATTGTCAATTACTTACATGTACAAACGAGGTACTTCCAAACTTACTTCTTTAATACATTTGCAACATTGACAGAACAGAAAATACGCAAATACGAGGGTTGTTCGAAAAGTTCGTGGACTCCTGTCATATCTTTTTTATTTAACGTCATATGCAAACCAATTTTGGTAGGAATATTTTAACAATAAATCCAAATGGTTTGTGTTTAAAAAAATTAATATATCATAATTAATTTCAAACCACTCCAGAATTTAAAACTGCAAAAATCGGATCGCGGAGCAGGTCAAAATTTAGAACTTCACAAACAACACATGAAATATATATGGCACTGTCTGTAGTCATATTCTCTGTAAAAAGGAGCAAAAACGGGAAAAAAATCATAGACTTTGAAATTAAGGACTGTTAAATTGATTCATATTCCAAATTATGGCTAAATATTTTGATTCGTTTAGAAGATATAAATTTGGGAAATAGGTAATCCTTGAAAGCGGCAAAAATGATGACGTTGTTGAACGTTACAGAGCAGCACGTAACGATGCAATTTTGTGTTATACTCGGGAAAAAATCCTCAATAAATTCTAAAAATGTTAAAGGAATAAAAAAATTAAGTCACTATTAAGTCGTGCATGTGTTTATAAACTGTACAGGCGGTATCTGAGTGACAGAGACCCTGTATCGGACGAGGACAATCTGTGAAGAAACGGTTTATCTGATAAAATCTGATCAAGAACTTTAAAAATTTGGGACATCATGGAAAGACATAGCGCTTCCGAGTTGCTAATCTTGTAAAAGCACAGCTAAGTTGTAAAAGAAATTAAAACATTGACAAAGGAAATTATACAATGAAAGCAATTGTTAGAAAAATGAATTTCAAGTGCTAGAAAAGGGTTTTTTAATAAGTGATTATTGAACTAAACTGTTGAAATCTATAGGGATAGTCCTTTTAAGAAATTCTTGATGCTATGTTTTTGACGTTACATCGCCGTTAAGTATGCTCCGCGGGTACAAAACATGTTGATTTTAAAATGAAGTAAATTGATTTCTATTAAATCGAATGAAATAAAACTTCACTCATAAACAAAAAAAATATTTTTACACAGGATATTGAGCTTATTTTCAATTTCTTGAAAGTAGTATAACGAAGATTGACATCGTCCACGAACTTTTCGAACAACCCTCGTATATGTTATTATAGATATCAAATATTGCTTGTAACACATTTGGTTTTATTCTTAAAACGTATAGAAAAGTACATTTTATTTTTAAAGCTTATAGAACACTTTTTCTTAAAAGTTTAGCATAACTTGTTTATATATACATCCTCCATGTTTCCAAAACTTAAATTCTTTTATCTTTAGTATGGAGCAAGGCATATTATCCATTCATAAATATTTTTTATAAACAATATACACAATGAAGTGTAATAATATAAATGAATAGAAATGCAATGATGGCCTTACATTTTTCTTTATAATTTAGAAATGGTTTTGTCATGAGAAAGGAATCAATTAACTTACCTGTCTCTGATATTAGCTCAATATAGAACGGTGCTTGTAAATTACGTCTTTATTTTCTAAATATGCGTCGTATACCTAGCGCAGTGAACCTTATCGGGTACAAACTGCACGATGTGACATTTAAAAAAAATCTCAGTGGATCAATATACGAAGAAAAACATTTTAAAGCATGACAGATTTTGATAGTTGATTTTTTTAGCCACGGAAATTTTACCATTCACGTTAAAAGACAATAGAAGGTATATGTATTAAGAAATCTTGTGATTGGTCATCAAAATAAATGCTTATGTCAGTACTCTAAATTTTATATCGAAAATATACTCTCTATCCATTTTTTTATGCCCCCGTAAACGAAGTTTCGGGGGTATATAGTTTTTGTCGTGTCTGTCTGTCTGTCTGTCTCTCTGTCTCTCTGTTTGTCTGTTTGTCCGCAAAAACTTTAACCTTGCCCATAACTTTTGATAAAGTGGAGCTATGACTTTCATATTTCATATGTGTATTCCTTGTGACAAAACCTTTCTTTTCGTACCACCAAATTTAACCTTTTGACCTTGACCTTGGAGTTTGACCTTCTTTAACATGAAAATTTTAAAATTTTACTTTGGCCATATCTTTTGAACAGTAGTCACCAGGACATTTATACTTCATATATTTAATGTTTGTTCAAAGACCTTTCTTTGGATACCAACAACCTTGACCCTTTGACCTTGACCTTGTTGATTTCCGTATTTGTGAAAAAACTTTAACCTTGGCCATAACTTTTGAACGGTAAAGGATAGGGCTTTCATACTTCATATATTTAATCCTTGTGAAAAGACCTTTCATTGGATATGAAAATCCTTGACCCTTTGACCTTGACCTTTGAGGTTGACCTACTTTTTAAGAAAAAATATAAATTATTACTTTGGTCATATCTTTTGAACAGTAGTCACCAGGACATTTATACTTCACATATGTAATGTTTGTTCAAAGACCTTTTACTGGATACCAACAACCTTGACCCTTTGACCTTGTCCTTGTTGATTTCCGTATTTGTGAAAAAACTTTAACCTTGGCCATAACTTTTGAACGGTAAGGGATATGGCTTTCATACTTCATATATGTAATCCTTGTGAAAAGACCTTTCATTGGATACGAAGATCCTTGACCCTTTGACTTTGACCTTTGAGGTTGACCTACTTAAAAAAAGCAAACCTTGACCATAACTTTTTTTAAAAAGACTTAGGGTTCGTGCTTTCATATTTTATATATTTGATCCTTATGACAAGACCTTTCATTTGATAACAATAACTTTGACCTTAACCTTTGAGTTTGACCTACTTTTTAAGAAATTGAACGTTGACCATAACTTCTGAACGGTTAGGGCTAGGACTTTCATGCTCTACATAAGTATTTTATGTGGCAAGACCTTTCATTTGATACTAATTACATTGACCTTTTGACCTAGACCTTGGAGATCTTTGTACTAATTAAAAAACTTTAACATTAGCTTACTTTCAAATTTCACAATTATTTTCCAATGAGAATACCCTACTTTTGTTACGAATTAATTAAATTTGCATTTAAGAAAAGCTTAATCTTTGCTATGTTGCCATACGGGGGCATCAGTGTTTTACAAACACATCTTGTTTTCTTTTAATATACGAGGGTTGTTCCAAAAAGTCGTAGACAATGTTTATAATTCTTTAAGCATGCAACCAATACTTACCAAATTTTGCATAGACATCATACATTCAATGTTCTTTAAAATTGTGAATTTTAAAAACATACCTTTCATATTAATGATATTAGGACGATTTATATGAAGGCCGATAAGGCCTGTCGGAGCATGGACAAAATTCGGAATAATTTACGCATATAACTATTACATTTGCTTTTATTTCTTTAGAACTATGTAATGTATTGAATTCAATTTTAGATCACTGAAACCAGAATAAAAATCTTAATATTATGTCAAAATATTATTTAAATATCATTAGAAACAGACGATTGGTGTCATGATTTTCATAGTATCGTTGAAATTGAATATGATGAGAATGACGTCGTCAAACGCATAGTCGGCGCACGGAGATGTAATAAATTGTGTTGGATATGGTTAATATACATAAGAGACGGGAAAAAGAGTACAAAAGTTACATTACACACCACATTTTAATAAAGAAGTTATTTTTAAATTGCACGATATTCCATGTGAGTTTTTTCTTCTGTACCGAAAATAGTTAATTACGGCATGTAAGAAGTAGAGTAATGTTTGATAAACGCAGACATTTGGGAACAATCAGGACCATGAACGACGTCAAACAATTTGTATTCTCTGCTGCCTACAATGTAAGACGATCTTTCGACTAAATTTCGACTGAAATTCAAATTTGCTTTAAAAAAAAAAACATGTAAAAAACAAACGGACAGTAGTGAATTTAAATATGTCCCTTAACCAAGAGTGGTCAATCACTTAAAAAAATTATTGAATGTAAATACCCGCGAGTGGAGCAGACAAGAGATCATGATGTTATAAGAGACGTAATTTACGCTTGCTTACGTGCGCCGGTGTACACTTATATTCTTTATTTTTTAATAATTTTCTTATATGATGTGATATCATCATGAAACTTGAAGTGCATGATCATAAAATGTTACTCTTTGCTATGACAAGGAAAGAAATTTAATAAAGCAAAGAGAAACCAAACTGTTTTCCCTGTCTACGACTTTTTGGGACAACCCTCGTATATCTACTGAAGGCTTTAGAGTCTAGAACAGAAACAAGAGACATTTAGGCTGCTCTACCGAAATGTGTGACCACTGTAGGACGGATCTGAGACAACTTAAGATAGCTCAGGGACTTTCTTGATGACAGTCCCTGGGGCAGCTATGCTCACGTATGTGGAAAAATATTCTAAGTAAAATAACATAAAAAATATAAAAGAGAGAAGAGGAAACACAGACCTCCAAAACATCAGAGGTACGACCAGCTGCCATGGAGAAGTAAGCGTCCCCTGCCGACCGGTCACACCCGCCGTGTGCTCCTTGTCATGATGGGAAATAACGGAAATATCCAGTTTAGTGTATAAATAATGGATAAATAAATATGAAAAACGTCATTCAGCATTTGACTCAATTATAAATTGTATTTACTGCCAAGGTCATTGTCAGGACCACAGAACTTACGAATTTATGACTTTAAACGAGACTGCTGATATTCTTGCTCCATCAACTTGTGTTTCTATACTTTACCTCGTATTCGAAATTGTGCATACGTAAAACATGCTCTTTTGTACCGAATCAACTGATATACATAAACTCAGTATGCAGGTGATGAAAGTACATATATTGCTGCAAAAGTAAGGGAAGCTGACGATTGAAATAAAATTCATCACGTTTATCATAGAGGTTGGTTGTAATATTACCATTAACGTCTTTTTCAAGTAAAATAACAAAAATTGAAACAGATGTGTTAGACTATGTGGTATCCTTTATCTCAAGCTCACTAGGATATATCGTATCGACATGAGAATTGAGATTACCTTAATTGTTAATTGATAATACGTCGTTCACATATCTTGATATCAAGCTGATGGTCACAACAATTTTTAACTTCGTTACACGCATAAGATTTAGCTTCATATGAATACAAAAATAGGCTTGCTGATACCGGGGCGCTAGTAATACCCATGGGAACTCCAATAGATTATTGGGAGACCTGTTTTCCAAAAAACAACATCGATATTTTCTATCAGAAACTCAAGCATCTTTTTTGTCAACATCAGAGTACTTATGTTTACAATCAGAAGACATCAATTACTAGTAGAATTTTCTTTCAGAAAACAATATGTGCATACATCACTCACAAACATTTTCGGATATCTGATTTTTCAAAACAATTAACACAAAATACTAGTATATCCCACAAAGCTAGTGGCGAATGTTTACACTGTTCTATAAAGGAAAATAACCATAAAATAAGTTATTTTGAAGATAATACATGTAAGCGTAAAACAGAGAAGTGTACCAAATTAACGACTTTATATATTCAAGATTTATCTCAATGATCTATCAAATTATCTGTCAAATTCTAAAAGTTTTGTAAAATTAAACAATGATTCATCTATGTCCATTCATTGCCTAATGTATGCCGATGACATGGTACTTCTCTCCCCAACTGCTGAAGGTCTACAAGAAAAACTCGATATACTAAGTACATACTGTAAGGACTGGTGTCTCAAAGTTAATACAAAGAAAACAAAAATTATAGTCTTCAATTCATCTGGTAAACACGTTAAAATTCCCTTCCATCTGGATAACAACAATTTTGAATGTGTTAAACAATACAAGTATCTGGGTCTGACTGTTAATGCATCTGGAACACTAAGTAATGCTAAAAATGATTGTTGTAACAAAGCCAAAAAAGCCTATTTCAAACTTCAAAAAGACTTTCTCTCATTTAATCCATCAATCAGAACTGCTTTAAATGTATTTGACCACACTATTAAACCCATTATCCTGTATGGTTCGGAGTTATGTTTTTTTTTTACCCAACAACCTCTAAATTTAAGAGAAATCCAAATATAACACTAGACAAAATATACCAAAGCTAAGAAGGCGAAATTCTAAATCTTAAATTTTACAAACATTTACTAATGGTTCATGGTAAAAGCAGCAATTTTGCTGTAAGATCTGAGCTAGGACGTTTGAATTTACATTTTGATGTCGTTAAAAATATGTTGTTATACTGGCATAAATTAGAGAATCTAGATGGCGAATTTCCCTTGCTCAGTGAGGCTTTTAACTGCTCTAAAACACTACACCAAAATGGTTTTACTTCATGGTATTCTTGTGTTAACTTCTTACTTAACCATATTGATATTAAAATTAGTGATTTTCTAGGTATGTCAACCCCACAATTTAAAATCAATTTGAAAAGAATATTACTGAATTTCTATAAATTAACATGGGAAAAAGACAGGAATTTACATAAAGATGGCAAATTGTCTACCTTTACCAGCATAAAGACTAAATTTTGTTTTGAACCTTATCTAGATATTCTTACAAACAATCAACATAGATCAGTTTTAACAAAGTTAAGAATATCGGCTCACAGGCTCAAAATTGAAATTGGACGTTACCAAAAAATACCTAGAGAGGAACGAATTTCTTCACTTTGTCATCACAACGAGATTCAGGATGAAATTCATTTTCTCCTTGTATGTCCTCATCTTAATGTACAAAGACTTGAACTCATAAATATTTGTAAAATTAAATGTAAAAATTTTCAGTCTCTATCTTATGATAATCAATGTTATTGGCTCATGACTAATGAAGACCCAGACATCCTTAACTCACTTGCTGGTTTCCTTAGTAATTTACCTTAATTGAAGATATTGTGATAAGCATAAAAAAAAATTATATACCTCTTTCTCAGTTTCTTGCCTTTAACTATATATATATATATATATATTAATGTATAAATTATATATATTAGTATGTAACTTACAATACAATACATGTATGTATATTCAGTATATCTCTTATATACTTTTTTTTTGTTTTTTTTAACAAATGCTCTTTATTTGTAATATCATCATCATGCTTGTTCTATCATTTGGATCCTCCTCCTTCTATTTGTAAATCTTTTTGCTCCTCCGGGGGCCCAAATTGGATTAATTAAATCTTGTATCTTGTATCTTGTATCTTGTATATTCCTGGAATCTTCGTTAACATGACCAGGACAATTACCTAGCTTCCAAAATGTGTTTGCTAGACACTAAGAGTGTAAAAGCAAGATGCTATTACATGTATATCGTACTTGCTGTGTATTTACTGCTGGGAATAAATTTACACATTTGTAAAAGTAAATTTGTACCTGTTCTGAGTAGAAGCAAATTAACATCCGTTTATTTATTTTCATATTAGAATATTTACTAGCATTTGAATAAAGGTAATTGGGTTCTCAAGCTTTTTTATTTACATCCGGTTGCAGATTTGCATACTGCACGTCTTGTTCAACAATCTTCTTTTTTACTTCTTTGTGATGCTTTTATGTCCCTTATACAGATGAGTTGCCAAAATATGGCTTCTCTGTGAAAGTTATGGATTCACAATAAATTTAATTCACATATATCCATATAAAACATTTTTTTTCTGATGGAAAGTGGATGAATGTTATGTTTTCGACTACTTCATAAAATATCATCTTGCCATGTCTGGGGTGGATGATTTAAAACAATTGCATATAATATAATTCTTTTTTTTTAATTTAAACATTGTCATGTGTATGTTTCTTCGTGCTTATACAAAAAGGTTAGTTCTTTGAGCACCAGCAGCTTATTCTGTAACCACCGCCATCATTAGACATGCAAGTCCATGGTATACATGTTCCTGATAGATTTTGGTATATAAAATGAATATCTGTTCGACATGCAACATGCAGAAGAACTCAGTGGAGGTGATGTTATTGTTTAATCATTGTTCCTAAATAAAACGAAAAAAAAATAATTATTTACATCAAGTACAGTACATTTGTTTACTAAAAATGAACTATTTTACCCAAAATATAAAAAAAAACATTCTATTGCTTTTCTCAAGAATAAGAGAAGGAAATTATAAGGTTACAATCGTCGATAAAGTCAATTATCTGATGAATATGGATACACATTTTTATTATTCTTAAGTATACCGTATTTGAAGTTTGACGCGTATCTTGCCCAACACTTTTTTGAATAAGAAACATGACGACAATTCCTGCCACAACACCGACGATTGAACTAGAAATACCAGCTCCTAGTACCATTTCCAGTACGTTATCATCTAAATAAACAAAGAATCTTTTTTTTAAATTAGATTAAAAATACACTTTCAAAAAATTTAACATTTTGAACAATGCTGATGAAATTTCCCAAATTCCAAATATACTAGGGCTGTTCGAAAATATTTGAGACATTGTGTAAGATCTTATTTCCAATGAACGGATTTCAGTGAAAACCTGAGTACTGAGTAAACGTGTGTTAAAGACCTTGAATTAATAATACAAAACCCCATACTTTATTCCTTGTTTATAATGGTTTACTGAAATATTGATGGTATTGGTAATCCACAGTCACAAAATCAGATATTGAAAATATGTATCGCAACAAAAATGTCCAATCTTCTAGTGGTCCAATAGTAAAATCGAAATTAATTTATGTAAAAAAAATCTTTTAACAAGAATTTGACTTCATTTTGTTAGTAAGTTTGTTAGAATTTTGCGTTTCACGTGCAAAATATATCCGACTGACCTGTCATTTAAACGACGTACCGATTTTAAATTTTTGTTCTCCTTACAAAGGTGACGAATTTCCATGAATTCCTCTCTGTCATTTATGGAATTCAAGTAGATGTAACATTGATTTTCAAATTCCGAAGAGCCCTCGTTTATGATTTGATTTGTACATATTTTATTGCACTAAATATATACAATGGGATTGGGAATGGTTTATGAATGGGGTCATGATTGTATACAGTAAAATAATATAGTGTCAGATATTTCTTATTGATATATAACGCATATATAGTCACATGTTTATAACTGAATGGTTGTTAATAAGCTATAAAAGTTTTTTCATTGCTTTTTGAGTCTTTAAGACATCGCTTATATTGTCTTTAATGTGTTTTAATTGTCTTTAGTTAAATGATTTCCATAAATGCCACAAAAAATAATACACCTTGATCAAAAAATCAGTGCTTTACGACACTTTTTTGAAATTTTGTCTGAAAATCTTAGTATCATAAATGTTTGTTATTTCAAAGAAAGGGCACTTTTGTAGGACTAACCTTCATAACAACTTTTTCTTTCCACGTTGTAATCGAAGCCAGATCTACAGAAGCACCTCTTGTTTTCTGAACAAACTCCTCCAGGAAAGGTGCATTGTTCGCTGAATAGACATTGGTCGCCATAAAAAGCACCATTTTGAAGCATATCATCTAATTATGAGAAAAAAGACACATGATAACCTTAGTGACTTTGAGCTCTGAACTAACAAAAGGACACGTCTCTCTCCTTTCAATCTCAAATTTAAGTATAATAGCAGACATTCCAAAGACTCTAAAGATCCCTCTCTGCTCAATTGTCATAAGTGTCAAGTGTAGGACAAAATTTGCAGGTTTCCAAGCGGCGATTGGCAGCATCTTCATATGATGTAATAAATTTCTGAGAGGGACATTGTACTACCAATGCACCAATCAATAATTACGAAGCTAATATTCAACATGGAGTTAGAAATTAAAATATTTATTTACATACCACGCACACATTGAGCATGATACCAAGTATGTCTATCTGCACATGAGCATTCGTTCATCAAACATTTCGAGCTGTAGCATTGTTCATCTGCATTGCATTTTTCTCCCACACTCAGATTTGCCTTCTCTACAATTAAGTTGAAGAAAAATCTTGTGATAGTATCTGCTTACTATAGCAATTTTTTCCGCTTGCATTTGCTATATAAACTTGAGTTTATAATTTATAAAGATTCTTTTTTTGGTTTAATTACCGTAAAAAGCCCTATTTCTTTTTAAAGTAATATTCAGGGAAATACGGTATCTATTTTTCCATATACAATGATGGACACTGAGGGCAAATTGTTAGAGACGATATTTGATTCATAACATATTTATTATTGCTACCAAATTTGCCATCTTTTGCGTAACTATTAAACGGTCCTTAAAACTGAAGTCACCGTTTAAAGGTTTTAACCTTCGCCCAAGTCACTTTATGTAAATTAAGGACACATAGAGAATAAATAATGTAAATCATAGAGGTAAATGAAATAATATAAATTCTTAAACTTAGACTTTACTCCAATGCATTGGAACGATTATCTATATATAACATTTTAAAAGACACCTGTGGACCACATCGATCAACTGAACACATTTGCTAGGAAAAAGCAAATTCAAACATCAATTATTGATGAACGGTTAACATGGGAGGATGTTTGAAATTACCTTTAGATACTTCTATATCAAGAAAACAAACATTATGACTGTTGTTTACTGTTGTTTAGCATTTTTAAGTATGTCCCTTGTGTTTTCTTCATATAAAACTTTGATTCCCCCGCAAGGTATATACAACGTTAAGATTCTTTCATATGAATGACTTATAATGGTTTTACTGTACTTGAGAACTGGGTTGATTCCTACATTCCTATATATTCCTGAGTAAAACTTTGAACCTCACAGTGACCAAACCCTACTCCCAGGGGTCATGAAGTAAACAGACTTAAATCTACATTAATTGAGGAGACTTCAATTCAAATATGACTAATTTTAACTATGCTATTCTTTTTTCCCTACAACTTTCTATGCAAACCTTTGATCCCCAATTTTTGCCCAACCTTACCCTAGGGGTTAATTTGATTAAGAAATATGAATCTAAACGTCTTGATCATATCAATTTGACCAATAAATAAAATTATGCTTTTGCTGTTCTTGAGAAGTTTATTATTTTTTCCTATGATATTTCTTTGTAGATCTTCGATTCTCAATTTACCATGAATCATTTATTCTAACAAATTTCTGAGGACGCTTTCATATCAAAATAAATACTCGTGACTTATATTTCAGCTTCCGTTACATAAGACCTTTTATGAATTAAGATTTGAATCTCTAGAATAAAAAAAAACCTTGTTTGTTACTAGGTATTAAAAAATCAGTATCATTTTTTGCATCAGTTTATACTCCTTAATAGTCCTCATCCAAATAAAGGTCTACTTTGATCAGGATATTTAAGCGTCTAATTATTGTCTTAATTCCAAATTATGTAGCGATAACAATAAGAATCATATATATATATATATATATATATATATATATATATATATATATATATATATATATATATATATATATATATATATATATATATATATATATATTGTGTATTTGTATTACGGATTACTCGGACTCGTGTACCCGCTTTCTGTCGAATCATCATTGTTCGTTTGGGACCAATGTTCGTGGATTTCATGTTTCACCCTTACCCAATTTACATCCCTACGATCGTTTATTTTGTTTACATATTGATTCACTGAACCATCGTACTTACCCCGGAATTTACATTCTCACAAACAGATCAAATTTTGTTTGCCAACGAACATTGACCTCCACGACTAAAAACAATTTCGCAATATTTATTGAAAAAACACTGAAGTACATTTAATGAATTCGTTTACAGAATGCTTGCTGTTATCGGTTTTACTGAATTAAAAAAAATCAAATACTTACTGTAGTTATTATAATCGCAGTACCCTGTAAGATCAGCAGTTTTTTGTTGTTTATGACTGTAATATTGGCATGAATATCTTTTTGCGATATAAAAGTATCCATCTTTTCTCTCAGTCGGTAACTCTGGTTGATCTTGAATCCCAACGTAATATTCCCACGACACTGTTCGAACATCGGCTGTTATTTTGCAAGTAATCATACACTTTGTTCCATCTTCAAAAAAAAGAAATAAACGAAAGAAATGAATGTTTATGCATAAATAAACGATAGCTGCCATCAAGCACAGACAAAGACAATTTTATCAAAATTAAGAGAAATATTCCTTATGATCAAAGACTTTAGGATCTTTAGGATCTTTGTATATTTTCTTAAAAAGAAATTGACGTTAGCCTTTGAGACTATGCTTTCAAATTTCTAGGATTTACCTTTAGACAAAAAATACAATTTATACAAAAATATGAATTTTACAATTCTCAAATTTCTTTATTCTAATATTAAAGACCTTAATGATAACTTTTACTTTTCTAATATTCAATGACCCTCTCTTACAGAATAACTATTTATCTTGAATCACAAATACACCATTACGAATTTCTCAATTTTTTTTTTAAATCAATTATGTCTAATTGCTATAATAGAATAAATATGCTTTAATTCACTATGATGCGAAAGGAATTGCGCAAGGGGAACCCCAGTCGGCCTCCGCAACATAATAGAACTGACCAGTATGTTATGGTAATGCATTTACTAATTATGAAAATAATATCATTTTAGAAAAAAAGCTATGAACATTATTGATGTTATGCGTATTCACATCTATTTTCTTGATAAACATAATTACAGGCCCTGTATTTTGCAATTGCTTTCACAACAAATAAAGGTTCCGATTAATTAAAAAAAAATTAAACTGGCAGTCCGGGGTCACTTCGTTTACTTTAGCATTGGCTAGGAAAAGGTAAAGAATCAGTTTAGTATTGAAAAGCTTAAAGTGGTCCAGACGTACATGTACTCCTAAAAGGAAGACTTTTGATTTGAAAAAAAAATGATTCTACACTTACGAAACATATTTACACGTTTTTTGACTCACTGTGAATTTTCATTATGTGGTCCTATCCTTATCTATGAGTGATGATGAATCTTATATCTTCACTATCTGTGGATGCGTCCATGCATATTATTTTGACTAATTATAACTTTGCTTTTCTTGAAAGATTTTAATGATTTTTTCCAAAATATTCATTAGTTAAATTTGATCGTATATTATGACCTCACCCTACCCTGGGGGTCATGATTTGAACAAACTTGAATCTACGCCACCTGAGGATGCTTTCATATCAGTGTGACCAATCATAGCTTTGTAGTTTTTGAAGATTTTTTTTTTCAAAATACTCCTATAAAAATATATTTTATCTTCTGTTGTGGTCTTAACTTACCTAAGGGGTAGTGATTTGATAAAATTTGAAACTACACCACCTGAGGATGGTTTCACATAAATATGACCAATCATGGCATTGTTGTTCTTGAAAAGAAAATTTTACTAGATTTTTCTGCAGATATATTCCTATTAAAACTGTAATCACCCATTGAGGCCTACACCCGCCCTACCTTCTGGGATCATGATTTGAACAACCTTGAATCTACACAACGTGAAAATGCTTCAGTTCAAAAATGACCAATCAATGCTTGACAAAAAATTGAAGATTTTTCAATTGTGTTCCTTTGTAAATTTTGATCATCCATTGAAAACCCACCCTACCCTCAATTCATGAATTAAATAATCTTGAATATACAACGTCCATCTGAGAATGCTTTCACATAAACATGACCAATGAATGATCGTCTGTTCTTAAGAAGGGATTTTTTCATGGATTATTCCGAATAAATATTCCAATTTTAATCTTTGATAGTGCATTGATGTGCCCCATCCATACCCCTGTGAGGTTATGATTTAAACAAACTTGAATCTACACTGCCTATTAACGAAGAACCTACGTCGTATGACATCATAACTAGTGAATGTGTTAAGCTTATGCTAGATCCATTATGACGTCATATACAATTTGTCACTTTTTCCCGTACTTTACTGCATTACATCATATATCTATCATGAATTGATGTGTATTCTTTTCATGATAATTTGTTATCTATTCATATTCTTGTGTGTTTAATTACAATTTTTCTATCAAATATATTTTTAAATGAAAGTACAAATTTTGGTAAACATTTTTTATCCGAAAGAAACCCCAAACAGACATTTAATAATTAAATCCTGTGTAAGTGCAAAAAGGTCAAGAATATAAGCATCCGTAAATACTCTATCTCTCATTAGTTAGAGGGGAAAGGTATATATTCCAATTACTTTTTGTAATCATATTGGTATGTTCTTCATCATATTAAAGATTAAAAATATTGTGACAAAGACTTATAAAAAATATTTACAAGTGTAGGGTGGAAAATTAACTAAAAACATGGACTTCATTTGCCTATCTTTTTTTAAATGTAAACTCATCTTTTAAGTCAATTGAATAAAAAGATGTTATTCTTGATAAATATTGTTTAATATTATTCAGTTAATAAAGTTTATAAACGACGATGTTTGAAGAGGTATTTATGTGATTTTTCATTTTCCCTTCTTGACAAGTACCCCTAAAATGTAGTCGCAGTATGTAACTACCATACCAAGTTTCACAGGCTGTACTTGATTTAAAAACAAGAAAACATATTATGATATTTAAACTGATTGATAAGCAAGCACAAATTTATCATTTTGAAAAGTTTGAAAATCTTGTGACAAAGACTTTTCCGACATAGGTTCTACTTTAATATAATCAATCATAACTTTACTATTCTGGAAAAGAAAAGTTTTGAGATTTTTTTCACTATATATTCCTTTGTAAAACAATCTTCCATTGTGACTCACTTCTGTTTTTAGGGTCATGATTTGAACAGCTTGAATCTAGAGTAACTGAGTATACTCCTAGATAAAAATGATTAATCATATCTTTGCTGTTCTTGAGAAGAAATTTTTTAGAAAGATTTTTCCTACTCCAATTTAAAATTGATCGTACATTGTGGCTAATTCCTATCTCTTGGGGGGTCATGATTTGAGCAATCTTGAATCCACACTGCCTAAATATGCTTCTATATATATCTTAACATTAATGCTTCCCTGTATATGAGAATATATTTTTGAAGGTATTTTCTTTACATTTCTGTGTTAATCTTTGATCATCCATTATGACCCCAACCACCCCTGGGATCATGATTTAAACAAAGTTGAATCTACACTACCTGGCAATGATGCCATTATTTTTTCTCAATTTCGTTATTATCTCCCCTTGGCGGAGGATCTGTCCCTTCTTTTGATTAAATTTGAATTCCCTTTACCCAAGGATACGTTGTCGGAAAAGTTTGGTTGAAATGGCCCAGCGGTTCTAGAGAAGAATATGAGAATGTGAAAAGTTGACGAGGACAACAAGAACGACAATAGGCAACGGACAAAATTGCATGTAGCCTTCGGTTTAGGTGAGCTAGAAAGAATCATTGGGTTTTTCAATTTTATATATCTGTTACCAAAAATATGTTTTATTGTACAATAATAATTTGAAATTGATTAACAAACCTTGAGTCGTATTAGGCAATACAATGTAATCGTGTTCCATGGAAATCATATTGCAGGAAGATAAATTCATATAGTGGAGAAGAACCAATGTATCTTCAGCGCACAATCTGATAAATTGTAATGAATTTTAATTGAGACAAAAAGCGACAAAATGTATGATTTGATAAAAAAAATTATGGTGGACAATGGTTTATTACCGTTCTACAAAACACCAATCAACTTAAATGAGTGAAGGAATTACTAAGAAAAATATAGGCTGAGAAACCTTAAACATAGGAACAGATGACGTCATTTATTTAAGGTAAAAAAAATCTGAATTAAAAAAAAAATATTTTTGTTGGATGAAGATTATTTTTGTTAAGTTATTCGGTCTTGATCTTAATATAGATTAAAAACCGACTCAAAACCGACTCAATTGTTATTAATAAAAAAAACTTGCATCAATAAAGAAGTACACATAAGAAAGCTAAATAAGTTTAAGGAATAATCATGAACAATCTCTATGTAAAAAGAAGTTAAACTAATGCCATGGGCTAGTTCAAGTTTGTATTTACTGATTTTGTAAATAGTAATATTAATCATCAGAGTCATTAAATTTGGTTCATAACGAAAAACCAAATGTTTAAATTGTAACCAGTGAATTTATTCGTAACTGATATAAAACATATAATTTAAATTCTTAATAATCTTTAAAATTCAAAAATAAATAGATTTCTATGTATATCATGTTACAATTTCAATATGATATTGGGAGTGAGATTGAGCAGTATTTTCCGATGCTGTGAAAAAACTTTATATTGAGCTCCCTTTTAATTTTTGTCCCCCATTTTGTTTACTTTAATTTACTTCTTTCCTAATTTACTTTAATGAATGGCATATTTTACATGGTATTATTTGTTTTTGCCTGCATAAAAATTGTTTTGGCAGGGGAATTAAGGAACATAATTAGCTTGTTTATAAGAATTAAATCTTCGAATACAACTGACTAATTTTCATTATTTAAAATACTTCTGGTCATCTTGATTTTTTTTTCATTTTACAACAAAAGACACATTATTAGTATTCTTTTGTAATTATAAAATGAGATTTTACTTACTTTACTGGTATTTTCCCAAAAGTCTTTGCGGATAAATTGACTTGAAAAAAGCATAAACACAGAAAACTGCATATTGCAAAACCTGAAGTCAGTATACATGTATTACTTTCACATTACTTAAAAGATTATATGATATATAACATACATGTATGTTACACTAGTTTTAACTAGAAAAATTGTCACTCTGTCAGCATGAACATATTGGTTTTTTTTTATATATAAAAGTGCATATCTAAAAATGTTTAATATTTCAAAGCATAACAAAATTTATCATCAAAATTTAAATGCATTCTATATAGTTCATCTTGAATTAAAGTCTTTCTTTATCATTTTAACTGAAATAAGTTTAACCTTAAATTAAAAAAATAAAGTTTACCCCATATAGAAGATTTCAAAGCAGACATTTTCTATACTATTTTGTTGTCATCATTTTTCCTTTCAAAAGCAATTTATTTTAGGAACATCGGGTTTTCTCGACATTTCTGAAGAAAATAATGTTAACTTTTACATTTTACTATAATGACTCTAATTGCTTTGAATAAAAATGTTTTAATAATGCTTTTGTGTTCAAAAAGTAAATAAGAAAATGAAATTGACATTACAAGCCTTTGCCAAAATACATGTGAGTCATTAAATTCTGCATTTAAACTTTGAATCATAGAAAATGAATAAATTTTTTAAATAAAATATCACTAATCCAAATATGTAACCAAATCAAACGTTATTTGTTCGGATATTCTTTATATATATATATATATATATATATATATATATATATATATATATATATATATATATATATAAAAAAACATAATAAGAATAAATATGTCATTCAATAAGTTTACCGATTTTGTTTTGCACCCATTTGAATTTAAGCAAAGAAAAAATAATGCGTGCAAAACAGGAATCTCACCAGGTATTATTATAGTAAGTAAGTATGTACGTAAATTATTTATTATAGTGACATGTGTATTGTTACAGTGATACAATATACATGCATTTTACAACAATAAGTTCAGATTCTTACACCCGGCCCAAATGATCTGTATGTCTATTATAACTTATAAGTCTAAACCAAAGATGGTATATAGGGAAAAGATGAAACTATAGAAGAGAATAGGAAAATAAAATTAGACACTAAACCAGCAAAAAATTATTACGTGCATTATAAATTTATTAAGTTAATTATTTACTCATATAATAAAATAGATATTAATAATGAATAGCAATATATAATTGATGTCAGTTTCTGAATTATCAACTTTAAAAGCTAATTGTTTTTCAAGAATTGGCAGTATTTTATAATATAATAAGTAATATTAGATAAATTGTTCAATAAATCACTTTTTCTAATAAATATTCATCTTCATTAAATTAATATTTACTCTTTGTGTTCATGACTCATAGGTAAAATACAGGTAACCCCCGGTCCAGAAAATCCTAAGCAGAAATAGGACTACAATAATTGTTATCAAAACACATTTTCACATCTATTGTTCTATACCTACATGTAATTATCAGATGTGTGCAAAACGGGAACACAATTTCAATTTTAGATGCTGTACAAATAAACACATTTAACAAACATATATAAGTACAAAACATGTAAATTTTTCAAAATTGAATAAACAACCAAAATTTTACTTCAAACGCACCTTTGCTTTACAGTTTTACCATTTAAAATGTGTCAACATAAAAGGTAAATTGCACTTACATGTTCTCTTTTCTTCCGTTAAAATACGAGGACTCTCTTACTGCGTATTTATTTGGTAAATCCGGGTCAGATACAAATCCAAGTGAACCGAAACCGCGTAACTTTTAAAGATCAGTGCATATCTACAGACAATAAAAGCATTTTTAAAAGCAGTTTAAAGAAAAAAATTACCACTAAACAAAGTGCATGGTTGTACATGTATATACCTGAAATATTGTTTAAAAATCAAATATTTGTTATAAATAAAAAGAGCATCAACAAATACTCTTTAACGAAATGCAAGAACTATTGGCTGAAAAAAGTCATTGTAGTATGGTAAGATTTAAAACCAACGATCAACGATTTCGTGTTTTGGTTCCAAGGACCCAAAGATTTTTTATAAGAAAATTATCAGACAGTTGACCATGACTAAACATGTATATTAGCCTAAATCATCTTTTAAAATTTCATATGACATAGTGGTAAATCATGAGTCAAAAAATTCAATTTGAATGAAAAAAAAATATTGATCCTTTTCTTTTAAATAACACTACATCTAAAACATACATGTTTTAAGTGTTACTGATTTAATCAATTTGTAGAGACCGTTTCAACTATGACTTAGTCGATCTGAAAACAAATCCTTAAGTTAGGAATATTCCATATTCATTTAGTACAATTAATGTTATATGTATAAATTGAAAGTCTAAGAACAAAATAAAATCTGCCTGTTGATTGCGCCAAACAAAGCGTAAAAACATATTTCGGGGTTGGGGTTGGGGGTGGTAGTAGTCCTTGACTTTTCAAACAAACTTAGATCACAGATCTGCGATTTCAACGGGGATGGGAAGTCTGCCTTTTCCAGAGGGGAATACAAGGTCACTTTTATTTTACAAATTCCGGCGAGATTCCGCGCATGAAAAAAAAAACGGAAACGGTAAGAAATAAACACATAAAGAAAAAAAATACATATAAAAAACTAAAGGACTGACTGTTGGTTTACGCCTTTTACGTGAATTTTCACTAATATTAGAGGAAATAAGCTGAAAGGGAAAAATGTCTAATAGTTATTTTATTGAATTATTATGATACTGGTCACTTGAAAGCAGATATACGTGAATTTCCCTTTTCTTAAAATCCGTTTTTTTTTTTTTTTTTTTTTTGTGCCGGATCGATATTCAGGACGCCAAGCATGACGTCGCGATATTTTATGACGTTGATTTTACAAATGCTACATTTGTCAATATAAAAGCAATTATCTACAATTAAATTACGAAAAAATGAACCCGAACACATATCAATTTTTTTTACATAGATTTATTTCAAATCAATTCTATTTTTGAATACCAAAGAATAAACAAATTCGTCTGCACGATTTAAAAGTTAATGATATTTTTTAAATCAAAATCTTGCCTGAAAACAAGCCAAAAACGACATTTTTCCTATATAATTCAATAGAATACAGTTGAAAATGTAACTACAACAATGACATCTTTGGAATTTAATTACACAAAAACGGTGCAGACGAATTTTATAAAATTTTCAGAGAATGGAAATCAAAGGTAGAGAAATCATATAGGTAATTTTCATGGTACGTTTTTGAACACTTTTAAAAGCCCTGTAAACCCGCGACCTACGTTAAAATGATATTTTATTTTTAAGTGATGCAAGATTGAAAATATTGTAAACATGAATTTTAGCAACATATTTGGGAAAACTTTGGCAGTCTTATTCTCCGCCCGAATGGTTTATTTCTCTCTATATATATTATTACAGTACAAGGAATATTTTTACGAAACTCTTTATTATGGCAAGGTAAATCGAGAGTTTTACCTCACTTCTGATATTAGTCACACTGTGACAGGAAATCATTTTGATATCCTTTCACACTGTGACAGGATATCAATTTTATTCAATGGATAAAGTACAGTATTTTACTGATGAAAATGTAATACAGTGTACTATTTCATACCAATTCTATTTATGCCTTTATATTAATTAACTGTATTTTCTCTTCATTTATGTGTACATGCATAAATTCTTCATAATACTCTATAAGCTTTTTACTAAAGAATGCTATCCACATTAGACATTTGAAAGTTTTAAAATAATTAGATTTGTTTTACGCTTGCATTGTTTCCATAAGACTTAGACAGTTATAATATTTCGTCTACTACTTTTTCCCCTATAATTACTGATTTCTACCTATACTTTTTTTTGGTTACATCGGATCCAACTTGACACCTTTTCATTATAAAAAAAAACATTTTCATGAAGCTATAAAATCTTTATGTATTTTTGTATTATAAAGCAACGACCAAGAGATGAAAAACCCTACAAAAAATGAATTCCAGGATTTTGTTTTCATTAAATGATTTTGTTCACTGTGCATCTGGAATAAATCAGTTTGTATCCCTATATAAAAAAGGAGAATATTATACATTTATTGAGTTTGAGGGCAACATGCGTTTTGTCGGACACAAGAACCATTTGTGTGCCTGGGTAACGGCCTACAGTTTGGTTCAAGGGTTTACAAAACGCATTTTGCCCGAGAACATAGTGAATAAATGTTTTGTTATACCTTTCATTTTAATTTTTTTTGACATACATGTATTTTGTACTGTTGGAAGTTTAACAACACAAAATCAAATAATCAATAAATTGTAAAGGACAAATCAATTACTACCACATTTTGAATACACAAGATTTTTTTCTGGAAATTGATTAGAAGAAACGGAATGAGATATGATTCGGTAATACGTACACTTGTAAGTAAAACCTTTTAAAACTTCGTTCTGTACATATTTAAAGCAATTCTAATGCTGTGCTGAGCGGGCATAAAAAATCGATGTTGGACTGCTGGGTGAGATGTTGGTCTGTTCGATGAGATGTTGGACTGCTTACGTCACAGAATAAGCGGAGCTTAATCTCATTTACATCCGTTTGTTTAAAAAGTGACGGACCTGAGGTTACAGCACGGAAGATTCTAATTTTTTTTCCTCTCACAATGAGATGTCGATAGGGGGCTTTAGAATTCGGTCTGTATCCTGCACCGTATTGAACATTTATTTCTTCATCGTGTCAAATACCCTGTCAAGTATCGTGAAAAGGGTCTAATTCTGGGTTATTTGGATTCTGATATTTCTTTTTTCATAAATCCTCATTCTTATTAAATCAAAGAAAACAAACCTAAAGCAAAAGTATAAAATATTGGCAAAAGAAAATAGATAATTTATCAAAGTGCAGTTCAACATTTCTCTGGTTATAATATTTTCGATGATAATATAATATTATTAGTTTAACGCACTCAATTCACAAGGATGTATAGTCGTCTAATGGATTCTCGAATTCCATTTGTATTTCAAATTATATGCCCCCGTAATCTACCATTCGGGGTAAATAGTTTTTGCTCTGTCTATCTAAGCTGTCTGTTTGTCTGCAAAACGTTAACCTTGTCCAAAGCGTTTTAGTGGGTTGGTTTATTGCTCTCATATTTCACAGAAGTATTTCATGTGATCGGTCCTTTCTTTTGATACTATCAAATTTGACTTCTTTCCCATGACCTTGCAGTTTGACCCAGTCTAACTAAAAATTTAAAATCTAATAATGGAAATAACTTTTTTAGTAGAATTAGTCGGTGCAGGGCTTTAAAAGTTCACATGTTTATAAACTGTGACAAAGCCATTCATTGGGTTTAAAACAACTTTGAACCGTTAATACTATATAGGGTTCTCATATTTAATAAGTATATTACTGGTGACAAGACCCTCCTTTTGGATACAAACAATTTTGGTCTTTAAATTGTACTTTGAAAAACTGTCATCTTGACCATAGCATTTGAACAGTTAGTATACTAGGGTTTTCATACTTCACAGTGTATTCCTTGTGACAAAACCTTCCTTCGGATACAATCAATTTTGATCTGTTGATTATGACTTTGTTGGTAATCTTGCATTTGAAAAACTTCAAGCTTTACCATTAGATGCCATGCGAAGGCATCAGTGTTTCACAAACATATCTTGTTTTTTTTTCTTACCCATTATTCTTACCTAAAGAGTATTCAAATAAGTACATTATACCGGTATTAATTTTATATTCATTATCGTTCAAATATATTATTTAACTAAAGTGTCAAAATTTAAAATACTGTTTACTTATTAATGTTTGTTTGACAGTTCGTCCTTTCAAACTCCAAATTAGATATTTAAATACAAATTTGTGAACATAATGTTATGTCCACCCAATCAACACATAATTCGGCAGCAATCTTTCATTTGTACATTTAACCGAATACTATTCATAATTACATGTATATTTAATTTGGATTGTTGAAAATGCCTCTTTTATATTTATTTTAGATGACAAAATATATGCACTTTGTTACATGCATGCATCTTGAGACATTCTTTATTTTTCGGAAAAAAGTATTTACAGATAGAAGAGCTACATGTATTTATTCATTTACTTCAACGCTGTATATCTATTGCATATAAACATGGTGGTTTGTCATAAGTTATTCTATAAATAAAATATACTGCACAAAAGCTTGAAAACTCTTACTTTTACCAAGACCTTTTGTTTTATCGTCATTCTGCATGATAATCCTAAAACAAAATCATCAAGCCATCCATAAAATGTAATGGCAGTATGAATAGACAAATAGTTATAATGGTGTTATTTCAGGCCCAAGGGACTTTTTTTAAAATTTGCTGTCAATGTTAAACATATATTTTTTTAAAGATATTTGTTTTTTTATGCACAATGACACCAATATGTTTTTATTGTTTGCGCTGTACCTTTTTCGCCATTCATTTTTTTTCTATTAATAGGAAGATGGATATCCGCTCTAAATAACAGTTTCTCATAAAATATTCTTTTCTAATAATTTACCAAAGCATTTAAAAAACAAACTTTTTTTATTATGAAGATCTGTATACACATTATTTTTAAACCCAATACATGTATAAAACTAATTTAAAATCATTGAAAAAATCAATTAAAAATTGTGACTCCACTTTGTATATTTTCGAAGTAATAACTTAAAAAAATAATGCAAATTTCCGGGCGTTAAGTATACTTCAGTTTAATTCAGAACATGCTTTATTTCATACAATGGAGAACTATATGATAGACCGAAAATCCAGCTTTATCAAGTAAACAAAAACCTTAAATAAATGCCAATGCTTAACCTGACATACACAGAGCCTATAAGAGAACCATGAAACGAAATATGATTTTGCTGATGAATAATACTTAACATAATCCTACTCTACATCTACAAAAATTTCAATTTTCGTTGATATATGTTTTTGTCAAATTAGTAATACTGCAAAATATTTTACTGGACTCTAAAACCTTTACTACACAAAATAATCAAATGATGCCGGTGTTTTTGCATTTGCATATGATTTATACATGCACGTATTTTCACACAACTGCCCATGCATTTTCTCAACTTTATCTTATTTTTAGTCTTACATTTAACTCATGTGAATTACTAAAGACTTTTAAACCTGCACGGTTCAGCTTCAATGCCGAATGCAATGACCCAGATATTAAATTGACAGGACTTTAAATAAAGACGCAGTATCCACAAGCAATCCTCCTGATGACTAATTCGAGTAAGTATTGAATTTAGTTGACAATATTTTAATCTGGAAAAACCCACGGAAACATAAAAGTACGCTTCTATATTCCTGTAAAGGTAAAATATTTAATTCGCACTAGTACTGTACAAATAATATTAAGAAACCTCTACACTGCACACGAAAGAGTTCTGATTCTGAGGTACTTTTCTGCAGTTAGAGTTATCTGCCCTTAGATCTAAATTCTAAAAAAAATATATTTATAATGTACAGAATTACTCATGTTTTAAAATAATTCAAGTATTCTTGATATTTTAAAAGTGCAAGACAAATTAACTGAACGTGTTATTCACATGTATTTTCTCTATTGAAGTAAAAGCAGTGATTTCTATTCACCGATACTGTGTTGTCTTTGAACATTTTTCCTGGGGGTAAATGCCACGCACCATACAGTGAAAATTAGATAAATAAGCTCAATATTAACTCCTTTATACAATATATTTCTCTCAACGTCCAAAAATATTTGTGCACTGGTGTAGAGAGGGTCCTTAAGGTAATTACATGGTTAGACGAAACTTGCCTCAAAAATTGTTATTTTGTGAAAATTTTAACAAGATGCAAATGATAAAAAATGCAATTTTATATTAACATTTTGTGGCTTCTTTTTCAACAGCTTCAACAATGTAAAAGGAAATTTCATGTAACAAAAATGGCGATTTTTCATATCTAGAATCATTTTAAAAAATTTTAATCGCGTTTTGTTTTACAATATACATGTACTTCACTTTAATGCATAAAAGGTCACAAAAGAAAGCAATTACTTTGTCTAAAATGCATATAAGAATATACTGATCTTTCTCTTTATGACTTTCCTGTTTTCCTTACCTGTATTTTTCTTATTTTGGAAAGATTGTGTAAGCAGTTTCTTCTTTATATTTATAACCATGTAGTCAATTAAACAAATTTGAGATTCTACTTTTGAATTGCAAGAAAAACAGCTGTCGTCAATTGAGAGGAAACTTATCACAACTCAACGAAGAAATGACAGCTATGAACAGATCTGGTATTGTTTTTGTAACGTCTATTTCATAAAGAAAACTTAAAAAACAGATTTTTTAAGGAAATGTGATGCAACTAGTATTAGAAATCCATTGTCATCATTATTAAATATTTACATTCGCTGTGTTTTTCTACTAAGTCAACTGTGAAATTGATTTGAAAGTCATTTGTGTGTATACTCACGCGTAGAAATGTACACGGAGAAACGTGCGTTAACTTGACGTCACAATGAGACTGCAGCGACAGTAGTAAAAATGCAGAGATATAGGGTAGCGAGAAATTCAAATATTGAGTACATTTTAGTTGCTTCCGAACATGTGAAACCACACACCAATAATTCACACTAAACTAAAAAAAAACAGTCCTTAGATTTACATTTTACATGTTCATGCCATAAATAAATACAATTTCACATTTCAGGATTCCTCCTCTGTTGTTTCTTGTGCTTCTTTCGAATAAGTCAAATAAGTTCATCCATAACAGCTATAGGGTCCACCCCAGTAACGTAAGTAAACTATATAATTTTTTAAGGAGTGAAGCTTATTTTAACTTATGGAATACGATATAACATAACTCGGGGCAGTGTACGCTTTATAAATTCAATAAGGTTTAATCTCAATCATTGCTTTAGTAAAATGTTCTTGTTCCTGTATTGATCAAGTTCTGTTTAAAGCTGAAAAATTCAGTGAACATAGAATTCATCGAATTTGTCTTAGTATTAAATTACAAAATCATATGGTTTTTGATTGGGTTTTTTTTTTCTTGATAACATTACCATTATTAGCTTTAATTGCTGACCTCAAGATATAAAGAACAAAATATAACTATGAGAGAAACAGTTTTCTGAGACACGCCAAGACTGAACATTATATGTTGTTCAGCCCTAAAAGAACACGATGTAGAATGAAAATAGACTCCTAAAAATAACAGAAGGTTTCTATGTGTTTCGAATTTGCTAAATGAATTGAAATAAATTTTAACGTATCGTAACTACATATAAAAGTTTTTCATGTCGAAATATTAGACGAAATTATGCCTATAATCCTCGTATGACTTTAACGTTATCTGTACGTCTGTCCTACTGCAGTTTATAATGATTATACAGGTGTTCAGCTTTATTTTTTAGTATATTAGTTTTAATCAATAACTTTCATTCATTTTTCATCTTCATTTTATTTATCTTTTCTTTCTCAGATTGTGTGCTGAAGATGTGTTGGTTTTTCTACAGCATCTGAATGTATCTACTGCGGATGGTTCGTGTTATTATAATACAACAAAAGGACACATGCCTTCTTGCAAAATATGACTCAAGGTAATTTTTTCCTACGTTAGTCTACTCTAATTTGTTTTGTAGAAATTAACTGACATCAGATGAAATCTTTGTGCAAATGAGGCAGAAAAATACTTTTATTTTACCTATTTTGTATTTATTTTTGATTTTTAAATCTCTTGAGAAAAATCTTTCTTATTGACAATAAAATCTTATAATAATTGTAATCATAGTATTTTTTATGTAATATACATGTATATGTAGCAGTAAATAA